CATCCCAAATATAAATGTCTTTTTTTTTGGTGTAGGTTAGTTCTGTGCCAAGCAGGCACAAGAAGATTTCAGGATCTAGTGTCATATTGATGATCTGTTCTGCTGAAGAATGTATCTTTATGTTTGTGTACAAATATACACAGTTCATACAGATACAAGCCTGTCAAAGTTAAGATCTTTAGTCGCTTAAAAGCCTCTCTACATGACTGCCTCCAATTTGGTCCTCCAACAATTCTCACAGCAAATTTTTGCAGAGCGAAAACACGTAACCAAGAGGTACATGTACTCCAGTCAAGAATACCATATCGCAGATGACAGAATTTTTATCAAGAATGAAATTTACTGACAAATGAATAATAAAAAAGTTTCCCATATGGTGCAAACTTTTTGAAACACACTGTATAATCAACGTGTAACCTCTTGCTCGAAACAAATCAATAATTCAAAACTCTTACTTTTCTTTTGTAGCTTAGAGCCGTTGCTGTCCGAACTGTGAATGCTGTCTTTAGAGTCTTCCCGTTGCAACATACTCTTGTTGGAATCCAAAAAATCATGTTTTCTCTTTTGAAAATCCAGTTCTTCCGGATACATTGTGTAATACGTCAATAAAGAATCGAATAGTCTCGTCGCTTCCGCTGACTGGGTAACGAGGTCCTTTGCGCTGTCCGAGAATTCGGTAGCGAATATTACGGTAGGCCCCCAACAGGTGGCTAAGTTGTAAGAGTCCATTTTATTTTGATCCTTGTACTTGACTACTTCCACGAGATGTTTCAACAATACGGAGAGAGTGGCCGAGTTGGCTTCAGGTAGGTGGCTCAAAATGGTCCGAATCATCAACTTCTCTTTACTTGAATAATTTTTGTCATTTCCTAAAATTCATATTATTATTATAGTAAAACCAATAATGATTGAGAGTAAAGCGCGTTGTCATATCTAAATTTTACGTTACCAGTTTATAGCAGAATTGTCTCCTGACTATANATATATATATATATATATATATATATATATATATATATATATATATATATATATATATATATATATATATATATATATATATATATATATATATATATATATATATATATATATATATATATATATATATATATATATATATATATATATATATATATATATATATATATATATATATATATATATATATATATATATATATATATATATATATATATATATATATATATATATATATATATATATATATATATATATATATATATATATATATATATATATATATATATATATATATATATATATATATATATATATATATATATATATATATATATATATTGTGTTTTTTATTAATATTGTTAATTTATTTGGTACCTACTATAATTACCACGATTATTACTCCGTTTTCATAAGGCCCACCTAATGACTACAACGATTAGGTAAATTACGATATTGCAAAGTTTTAATGAAATAAATAAAAAATGTGTATGAATATTTTAACTAATTGTACTAAGAATTTTTCTTTCATTCTTAACCCTCTCAACAAATTAATAAGCACGCCCCCGATTTGCTGTCAACTGGGCTTACTTCTACTCTCAATCATTATTGGTTTTAGTATAGTGCAGTCATACTCGTTTAATATATAGATATTGAATGATCTTAATACATTTATCAAGTGAGAGCGATGACATTAATCAATTAAATCAATTTTGGGGTAGAAATCAATTTGCAGAAAGCGAGTTATTTATGAATGTTCTTATTGGCGCAGTAGGTAGTCATCCCTGGAATCCTAAACATATTGACTATTTTCTTTCTCATCAAAAAGTACTGAAAATGACACCTTTCTACATATTGATTTATGGAACATAAACACATATTTCATATAAACTCACTCATTATTCCCAACAGATTATCACAAGTCTGGCAAGACATTAGAGGCTCTTTCAACTCTCTGAAAAACAGCTTCAAAGCCCCAGTGAGTACATCCGGATCTTTGGAATACGCATCCAAAATGTTCAAATTTCCTTTATCTACCTCCAACCGAATTTTCTGGATTGTAGCCAGATTTCCACAAGTTCTGTACAGACCCAAACTCGTAACGTTCTCGTCACTCTCTATGAGTTCCATGGTTTTCGTTATGAATGTAGGCACTTCATTTCCTAAACTGAATATATTCCTCAGTGTGTTGCCGAAAATAGGCTCGTTCTGGTAGATCCCTTTCTTCTCCAGCACCTCACGGCTGGATCGTTTTCCTAGCAGACGCAAGAGTGTCTTAGACAAAGTGGTTTTGTTGTCTAAAAGGTTACTGACTTTTTCATTTTCCATGAAATGTTTCGAATCCTTTGATGAGTCGAAGATGAGGAGATATACTTGATTGTTGGAATCTCGTAACTCAACTTCTCTTTTGTTCAAACTCTTCATCGATTTCAGGATGACCGAAGATTTCAGTGGTTCCAACTGAAATATATACAATTGTTTAATTAAAAATAATACTCATTGAAACGGTTGGCTAATACAAATCTACCTGTCCTGGATATATTTGAAATAATTGAAGGAAGAATAAAATAACTATTCGTTTATACTATTCAGTCGGTTTAAATGACAGCTTTCGAGACGCTTCGACCACAGTGTCTCTGATAATTTTTTGAATTTTGAGGTAACAAACGATGATAATTGGAAGTCAATGAAAAACAATAATGATAGAACCCAGTAATATTCATTACTACACCTAAGCTTCCAAACAGTGCATCACAAGTACAGTGCTATAACCTCAGGCTCACCTCGTTGGTAGCACTGTCAATTGATATCAGATTATTTGGCTTGATTTTGATTTTATCATCATAATCTCTCGAAATTAGTGCAAAAGGAAAGTCTCACTGACTGGTATCTGAAATCCGGCAACAGTGTTAACATCTGCGGAATATTTGTGATGCACTGTTTGGAACCTTTGGTGTAGTAATGAATATTACTGGAGTTTTATCTCAACGCCAAACCATTATTTTTTTAACACTTCGATACGTGTTTCAATCACCAAGTGATCATCTTCAAGAGGAAGAATAATCTTCCTCTTGATCATCTTCAAGAGGAAGATTAATATTTCTCTTGAAGATGATTACTTGAAACACGTGTCGAGGTGTTGAAAATAAAGGTTTAGTGTGATCATTTTCAAGAGTAAGATTAATATTCCTCTTGAAGATGATCACTTGAAACACGTGTCTAGGTGTTGAAAATAACGGTTTGGTGTGATCACCAAGTAATCATCTTCAATCTTCCTCTTGAAGATGATCATTCGAAACACGTGTCTAGGTGTTGAAAATAACGGTTTGGCGTGATCACCAAATAATCATCTTCAAGAGGAAGATTAATATTCTTTTTGAAGATGATCACTTGAAACACGTGTCTAGGTGTTGAAAATTACGGTTTAGTGTGATCACCAAGTAATCATCTTCAATCTTCCTCTTGAAGATGATCATTCGAAACACGTGTCTATGTGTTGAAAATAACGGCTTGGTGTGATCACCAAATAATCATCTTCAAGAGGAAGAATAATCTTACTCTTGATCATCTTTTCAAGAGGAAGATTAATCTTCCCCTTGACGATGATCACTTGAAACACGTGTCTAGGTGTTAAAAATAACGGCTTGGTGTGATCACCAAATAATCATCTTCAAGAGGAAGAATAATCTTCCTCTTGATCATCTTTTCAAGAGAAAGATTAATCTTCCTCTTGATCATCTTTTCAAGAGGAAGATTAATCTTCCCCTTGAAGATGATCACTTGAAACACGTGTCTAGGTGTTGAAAATAACGGTTTGGTGTGATCACCAAGTGATCATCTTCAAGAGGAAGATTAATATTCCTCTTGAAGATGATCACTTGAAACACGTGTCTAAGTATTGAAAATAACGATTTGGTGTGATCACCAAGTAATCATCTTCAATCTTCCTCTTGATCATCTTCAAGAGGAAGATTAATCTTTCTCTTGAAACACGTGTCTAGGTGTTGAAAATAACGGTTTAGTGTGATCACCAAGTAATCATCTTCAAGAGGAAGAATAATCTTCCTCTTGATCACCTTTTCAAGAGGAAGATTCATCTTCCTCTTGATTATCTTCAAGAGGAAGATTAATCTTCCTCTTGAAGATGATCACTTGAAACACGAAGTTCAAACAAAAAAAGTATGTTGTTCTGGTTTTCGAAGAAAAAAACACTTACCTTTCCTAGAGAATCGTTGGCAATGAAAATGGTATTATTCTGGTATTTGATATACTCATTCTTATCCAGTTTCAATTGGATATTCGATGATGGTAAGTGAACCTTTGTAACTCCCTTAACGTCAAACTCTTGAGATTTACTATAAAAAAGGTTATTGTAGTACACTTATTGGTAGCATCAGTTTGAAAAGACATAAAAAAAATTCTATTCTTGAAATGACACAGAACCAACAAAGGCAGTTTTAACAAATGATTAATTTCGTTATTGTACCATTTTTAACATACCTTGGAGATCTTCGGGGAACATCGAAATCCATTGTTTTGGACTGTCTTTGAGTACTTCCATTACGATTCGATCTGATTTGAACATCGGCAGAGAGAAAATGAGTATCATCCGCCCTAGGAAATGGCCCGACACCACGTGGAAGCGGTTCATCTTTGGTCATCTGAAGGTTTCTCAGAACTTCCTAAAAAAAAGAAATTCAAACCTTAATTTTCAGGACTGTTATCATTCGAAACAACTTTCTTTTTCAGTGACAACATTATTTGTTTCGGCAAGTAAAAAAATTGGAAATTTCACTCGTAGGAATAGAGAAATAAAAAAACAGTACAATACAATACAGTATCTAACAAAAACAGAATTTTTTTAAACGTTGATAACAAATCTATTAGGAAAGTAACCTCCACTGTATATTTTCTTTTGCGCGTTCAATTTTCATCCCCGTGCCCCCCTTCCGTCAGTATCACCGATAATCAACACGTAATTAGTCAGCGAGAATACGATTAACGAATTATTTCCTAGTTTCCTGTGAAAGTCAATTAGCAAAACTGCCATAATCTCGATAAATTGTTGTTATCGTCATTTGATTAATTTTCTACACTTTCCTATGATGAACAACCTTGGCACGATTCAGTGGGGAATATAATTCATAACAATTAAGATAATAACGGTAGCGATATGACGAAATAACGAAATTATAGTTTTTTATGGTTTTCAAACCAAGTGAACATGGAACATATTCCAAACAATAATAATAATAATAATAAATGGTCTTTATTTTACGTGGCGGAGTTTAGCAAAGCGCTATTCTTCCACTCAACCACGTTTGAAAAAGAAAGAAACATTACAAACATTAAATGGCAACTTCAGGACAATAGTAAGGTTAAATTCAAATGTTTATGTTGTTTGGATCACTGTTTTCTTGAGTGTATATGATGTCTGGGAAGGAGTTTATTTCCCAAATAAGTGGGTTGTTGTGTTTTTATCAGTTTGTGAATGAAACAAGCGAAATGCAATTCTCTTCTGTATTGCATTTTTAACCAATTAAGTTGATTGATGAAAGGGGTCAAATGATATCTGTAATTCAAGCTGAATATTAGTCTAATGCAGGCGTTCTGTATTTTCTGAATTCTTGCAGAAGTTATGGAATCGATACAAGGACCATAGACGACATCGCAATAATTAAACATAGATAGAATCAGTATGTCTGAAAGGGTAATTTTGAGAGACCTACTAAGATAGTGTCTATTTGAATACAAATGTTTCAGAGTACCGTACGATCTTTGAATGAGAGTATTGACTTGATGAACAAATCTGAGGTTGTAGTCTATATGAAGTCCTAAACATTTTACTTTGTCAGTTAGATCCACAGAATGTCCATCAACATACAAATCGATATTATCTATGGCCCTTCCACGATCTTTGGCTTTTCCAAAAATTATTAAAGATGATTTACTAGGATTAAGGTTCAGACAGTGTGCTGCGAAATCTGAACAAGATTTTTTATATCATTATTGAGCGATGTTTCGTGATCAATAAGCTGATTTACTTTATCGGAGTAGTACAAGTTAGTGTCGTCTGCATATGTATGAATGTTGAATAACTTAAGGAGCTTGGGGAAGTCAGATGTGTAGATAATAAAGAGTAGCGGGGCGAGAATTGAACCTTGCGGGGCTCCATGACATATATTCATATTATCAGACTGACTACCCTTTATCACAACACGTTGCTTTCTATTTTTAAAAAATGAACTAATAAAGTCACATGCCTCCTTACTGAAACCAAAATAACCAAGTTTAGCGCACATCAGATCGTGATTCATGGTATTGAAAGCCTTACTGTAATCGAGAGACAAGAAAAGAGTGACCTTTTCATATTATCGGTGGCTGAAAAAATATCGTCGGTCATTGTCAACAGAGCACTACTAGATGTACTGTGATTCTTCAGAAAACCAGATTGGTGTTCAGGCAGGATGTTATTATCAGAGACATAAGAGTATATCTGACTATAGGCTGCCTTTTCTACAATTTTTGATATTGCCGGTACTATATTTATGGGCCTCAAATCATTTGGTATCAAAGGTTTAGAAATTATGTTTATATGAAAAATAATAGATTGTTTCCATAGTTCCGGGAAGATACTGGTTTCAATACATTTGTTGACTGAATATGTAAGAACTGGAGTAAAGTAAGGGACACATATTTTGATTATTTTGATAGATATCTTATCTGATCCGGTAGCATTCGTTTTTATGGAGTTGACTATCATGTTGATATCATCCATATTGATTTGATGGAATTTAAAAGTTAAATTTTCTTGAAATTTCGTTGTTTTGTAGAAGTTAAGAAGAGTATCCGGAGGTTCAGTCGCAATTTGAGTGACCGAAGTAATAAAGTGATTGTTTATTTCATTTGGATTAGAAAGATGTTCAGGAATATCTTTCCTGTCTTTACGATTGTCAATGTCAAATAAGTGTAATGTGTCCCATAGATGTTTAGCGTTTTGTTGATTTTTAATGAAATTCAAGTAGGCTTTTTTTTCTTTCCGTATAGCAGCTGTCACCATGTTTCTCAAAACCCTTATAGGTGTTTCAATTATCACTCGTTTTGTACCGTTTATATTTCGCGAAAGCTGAGTCTTTCGTCTTAATCATGACAATCATCATGACATCATTGTTATTTTCAGCTATTCCTTTCAATTTTTCATTTGTATTGGTTTTTTCAGGGATTGCAAATCATTTTAAATAATATTAGATAATGGAAGTCCGAACTAATGTAATTCATCATGAAACATTGTCAATCACCTTAAAACAAATGAGCCTGAAAGTTTTGAAAAATGTGACGGAAAATACAGAACTGTAGACGAAAATTACAGAACTGTATTTAAACATTATTCTTGAACGGGGGTGAACCAAGGAATGCAACACCCTGTAAATAACTTTCTTTAGCACATTTTTATTACGAACATTTGACAGTTGCAATGACAAAGGGCAAAAGTTATGATGTTATTATTTGATTATGTTATAAGCAAGTAAAAACAAATCGAAAATTTTTTTTTTCCTGAAAATAAAAACTTAGATTTCTTAGAATCACAACTTAGTCCCCATTTGACTTTGTCTGTAACTCTTGCCATTGCCGAGATTCTCATACATCTATTCGATTTTCACTACCCTGTATAGCAGATTGTTCCACTTGTATGCTCTAAGTTGTGTATTTATTTATTTATTTATTTGTAATACAATACTCTACAGGACATAGCCTAATTACAGAGCAGGAAATAACAGAGTATAATAAATACATCACAAACAAGTGACTGTATAGTCTACACATTTTATATTTATTATAGGTGACAAAACAATTATTTTAGGAAGTGGGATTTTATATTT